CCGCCGGTTTCGCCGACCCTTCTGTGGACCGGGTCCCCTGGTGACGCGTCTGCGTTCCACATCTGGGGCTGCCTTGCTCACGTTCGTGCCTCTGGCACGGACAAGCTCACTGCCCGCACCCTCCCCTGCGTCTTTCCTCGGTTTCACTAGCACTTCTACCACCCGCCGTCTCACCACTTCTTTCACTCTCGCGACGTCACCTTTGACGAGTCCGTCTCCTTCTACCGCCGCTTCCCCCACCGTGGTCCCCCGGTTACTCCCCCCCTGTTCCTGGTCCCTCCTTCCCCGGTGGTCCCTGCCCCTCCCCTCCCCCCGCCCCCCCGTCCGGCCCCCTCTGGTGTGTCTCACGTCACCCCCCTCCCGTCGGTCGTCCCGGTCGACGAGTCTTCTGACTCTGGTAGTCCTCCGGCGCGGTCCTCGCCGTCTGTCCCTCCCCCGGTGTCTCCTCCTCCACCGCCTCCGCAGCCGCCGTCGCCGCAGCTGCCGCAGCCGTCGTCTCCACCGCCGCCGCCGTTGCAGCCGTCGTCTCCGCCGCCACCGCCGTCGCGGTCGTCGCTGCAGCCGCCGCCGCCGCCGCCGCCGTCGTCGCTGCCGCTGTTTGTGGACTCTGGGGGTGCTGGCGTTGAGGTGGGTCCTAGTCCCGGGGCTCCTGTAGTGGCCTGTCCCGGCGGGTCTGGGGGTGGTACCGGTGCTGGCGGGGTTTCGGGCTCTGGGGGTGTCCCTTCTGGGGGTGCCGGTGTGGAGGGTTCGGGAGGTAGCCGTCGCGCAGCTTGTGGCCCTGGCGTTGGTGTTGTGTCGCCGCAGCAGCAGTCCCCGCCGGTGTCCGCCCTCCGTCTGCTCGGCCTTCCGTCCCCTGACCCTGCGCCTGTGCCTCCCCTGCCGTCTCCTCCTCTTCCCGTCTACGGCCCCGTGTTCCCTCCGCCGGACTCGTCCCCGGCTCGTTTTCCCCCTCGTTCCCCACCAGTGTCCCCCCCTCTGTCTCCTGACCCGACGCCTTCCTCTCACGTCTGGTCTCGCCGCCCCTCCCGTGCTCGTCCTGTCTCCCCCGTCCCGCGCTCTCACCCTATGTTGCTCCGGTCCCACGCGTCTCGTCCTCCCCTCCTCCGGTCTCCTCCTCCGTCCTCTCTTGTCGTTGCGTCTCCTCCTCTGTCTGACTACTTTCGTGCCGCTCGTCCTCTTGTTCCTCGGGTCCTTGCCTCTCTGGTTACAGACCCGTCTGTTCCAGTGTCGAGTCTTGCCGCCCTTGTCGCTGCGGTCGCTGACTTCGCCTCTACCCGCCGCCTTGACTACGCTACCGCTCTGGTCTCTGACCCTGCCTGTCCTCCGTCTGTCGGGGGTGCTCCTGCCCTCGGCAGTGACGTCCTGGAGGACCGCCAGTTTGAGCTTGCTTTCCTCTCCGAGGCTGCTCCCCATCTCTATTCCATGCTGCTAGTCCCTGAGGGTGACCCAGACGCTTTCGACATCCCGACCCCTCGTACTTACGCTGAGGCGGTTTCGGGACCCTGGGCCTCTCAGTGGATAGCTGCCATGGAACAGGAGATGGCATCTTGGAGATCCACGGGCACCTTCGTCGACGCAGTTCCCCCACCTGGGGTGAACGTGGTCGATGGCCGTTGGCTCTTCAAGGTGAAGCGCCCTCCTGGAGAGCCGCCTGTGTTCAAGGCGCGCTACGTGGCTAGAGGCTTCAGTCAGCGTGAGGGGGTGGACTTCTTTCAGACTTTCGCTCCTACGCCGAAGATGACTACTCTTCGGGTTCTGTTACACGTAGCGGCTCAGCGTGACTACGAGCTTCACTCCCTCGACTTCTCCACTGCCTTCCTTCAGGGCAGCCTTCACAAGCAGGTCTACCTGCGTCGCCCTCAGGGCTTTACTGGCACTTTCCCCCCTGGGACCCAGTGGCTTCTGCGGCGCCCAGTCTACGGCCTGCGCCAGGCCCCTCGTGAGTGGCACGACACGCTGCGTGCTACCCTTGCTGACCTGCAGTTCTTTCCGTCCTCTGCAGACCCCTCGCTCTTCGTTCGTGCTGGCCCGACTCCGTTCTACATCCTTGTCTACGTAGACGACCTGGTCTTTGCCACAGCAGACAGGGACGCACTGGCCTCCGTGAAGGCAGAGCTGCTGAAGAGGCACACCTGCACTGACCTTGGAGAGCTGCGCCGTTACCTTGGCTTGCAGATCTCCAGGGACAGAGCCGCGCGCACATTCACCCTGACTCAGTCACACTTGGTGCGCCAGGTCCTTCAGAGGTTCGGCCTTCAGTTCTCCTCCGCACAGCCCACCCCTCTTCCTCTGGACCACAGACTCTCTGCTCCAGTTCTTGAGGAGTCGGTAGATCCCAGTGGTCCTTACGCTGAGCTAGTGGGTTGCCTCATGTACCTGATGACTTGCACTCGCCCAGATCTCGCATACCCTCTCAGCATCCTGGCTCGTTTCGTGGCCACAGGCAGACACCGACCTCAGCACTGGTCTGCCGCTAAGAGGGTTTTGCGTTATCTTGCAAGTACTTCGGGCATGGGGTTAGTGCTAGGCGGACGCAGGCCAGTGGTCCTTACTGGACACACAGACGCTTCTTGGGCAGACGACGCCGAGACGCTCAGGTCTTCCCAGGGCTACTGCTTTAGCCTTGGCTCAGGTGCTGTCTCGTGGAGAGCCACCCGCTCCTCGTCTGTTGCCCAGTCCAGCTGTGAGGCTGAGATCTACGCCGGTGCCATGGCGGCACAGGAGCTCCGCTGGCTGACCTTCTTGCTCACAGACTTAGGTGAGCGGCCTAGCTCTGCCCCGGTCTTGTACGCTGACAACAGGGCCATGATCCTCCTGTGTCAGGAGCCTCGACTCGAGGGCAGATCGAAGCACATCCAGCTGCGGTACTTCCTCCTGCGCGAGCTACAGATGCGTCGCCAGGCTCGCGTAGTACACTTGGCCTCCGGTGCCAACACAGCTGATATCTTTACGAAGGCGCTTGCGCCTAAAGATCATCAGCGGCACTGTGTACAGCTTGGTCTGGTTCCTGTAGTCCCTCACTTACTCGGGCCTTGACTTTGTACTGTCCTATATATATATATGTGTACACTCAGACTGGACTTGTGTCCTCTCACAGTGGTTGGACTAGTAGTGCCGCCCTGTACTTGTTCTTGTCTTGTCTGTACTCCTTCTGACTGGTCTTTTAGACCCTTGTCTCAGAGGCTGGACTAGTAGTGCCTCCCTGAACTGCTTGCCTAGGACATTCCCCTATGCAGTCCAGGGGGTGTGTCAAACATGTTTATTGATCATGTTTGTATAGACTGTATAGGGTAACCTCCTAGAGGGTACAACATTTAGGTATATGTGCATGTACTCTCTAACTCCATCATTATTCAATTTCTATTTTGTTAATATAATGTTGACACAATCCCCTCCTTGTATGCCTCTCTCTTTCTATTCCAACACTCTTTTCTCTCCTCAACTTTTCTCCTTCCTAAACCTCACGCCACTCCATGGCTCCTACTAGCTAAACCTCATGCCTTTCCTAGCTTCCTAGCTAAGCTAGCCTTCTAACAAGAGACTCGTAGGAACACGCTCTCAGACAACCCCAAAACCAATTTGGGGGCCTGGCTAGGAACTAGGGGCTATGCATAGAACTAGCGAGAGGTTTAGGTATGAGAAAATGTCGAGAGAGAAGAGGGCTTGGACTAAAAGAGAGAGGGATACAAGAAGGGGGGTTGTGTCAGAAACTAGCTTAGCTAGGAAGCCATAGAATGGCACAAGGTTTAGCTAGGAGCTAGGAGGAGCCATGAGAATGGCGAGAGGTTTTAGGTGCTAGGAAAGTTGAGGAGAGAAAAGGTGTTGGATTAGAAGAGAGGGGAGTACAAGGAGGGGTTTGTACCCCCTACAGAAAGGTTCAGTAACAACCTACCAAGCCCATATTAAATTATAACTTATATAATTTGAACACACCCCCTAGGCTTGGTAGTCACATGCCCACACACACCCACACCCCCTAACCTAGCACCCCCATTCCAGCCACAGTGACAGCGACTCTAGGTCGGTCGACCCCACGGCGCGTGAGGCGGCGACGTCGACCGCAGGGGCTGCGGCGGCGACGGCGGCAGCGGCGGCAGTGTCGACAGCGGCGGCGGCGGCGGCTTCGACAACAGCGGCAGCGGCGGCGGCACCCGCACCTCTCGGTAACGTGGCCAGGCCCCGCGACGGTGGGACGGCCGGCGGGAGTCAGCCGTCGTCTGCGGAATGGAAGAGGGCACAAGGGAAGGAGGGGGGTGGGGGGGGGGGGGGCGCCACAGGCTGACATGCGGGCGGCCGGTCTAGCGGCGCCACAAGCGTCACGCGGCCGGCTGCAGCCCGACGACGCCGTCATGGAGCGGCGTCGATGCCGCAGCGGGGCGTCGACGTTGCGACGGCAGCACGACGTCGCCGTTACGCCGACCGCGCGCTGTCGCGTAGACGCCGCGGCAGCGTGACGGCGCCGTCACGTCGCGACAGCATCTTGACGCGACGGCGGAGCTGCGGCACGACGGCGCGGCCACAGCAGCTGGACGCGGGCGCCATGGACGTCGACGGCGGCGCCGCGGCACGACGACGCGGCCACAGCAGCTTGACGCGGCCGCCATGGCAGCGCGAGATAGAGAGAGAAACGAGCACGCAGCGGAAACGCGAGGAGCAGGCCCACGCGGAACGAACTGCTCTAATACCATGTCAGAAACTAGCTTAGCTAGGAAGCCATAGAATGGCACAAGGTTTAGCTAGGAGCTAGGAGGAGCCATGAGAATGGCGAGAGGTTTTAGGTGCTAGGAAAGTTGAGGAGAGAAAAGGTGTTGGATTAGAAGAGAGGGGAGTACAAGGAGGGGTTTGTACCCCCTACAGAAAGGTTCAGTAACAACCTACCAAGCCTATATTAAATTATAACTTATATAATTTGAACAGGTTGTACCCTCTACAGTAGGATCCAATAATACCTACCAAGCCTGCAATTATACATATAATATGTATAATTTAACATGTATAGCCCAGCTAGATCAGCTAATAGGGAGCATAACCCTTGTGTACTTGCATCCCCCCTTCTCCCTTCCAATTCAACTATTTCTGCGTGATTCTAACAAGAGCCACATGCATGTAGAGAAATATGGCAGCATGCGGTAGGGTGGCATGAGGGAAGGAGAAAGGGGCCGCGGGGGAAATGGAGGAACGGAGACAGGGAGAGGGGAAAAGCTACACATGAGTATGATGAATGTAGCCTTGTAACAAGGTTCAAACACTATGCCTGGATCCCATGGATCGAAATGACTTCTGTTAACCACTGGCATTCTTCCTCACTGAATCCCCTAGATTGGGGGTTGTTCTCAAGAATGTGCCAATCTGGGAATAGCTGTGAGCCCCCCGCGGGGAGAACATCCTGGGAGAGCAAGGCATGTAGAGGTGCATCATCATTAGGGTCAGCTGCTCCGCTGTCATCAGCAGCGATGCAAAGAGCGGCGTGGGTGTTGTCAGGTACCAAGGGGCCCACCAGCTCATTGCCGTCAAAGACTGGGATGCACTCATTTATAGCTGGGGCATTCGGTGCACGCTCCCATTCATTGAAAACCTCATTGATGCCATCACCTTGTGCCCATGGCTGAAACACCGCCGCAATTGTTGTACCATTCTGATGCTGCTCAGGTGGCACCTCAACCAGCAGAGCACTGGATTCCTGTACCTCCCATTGCTCCGGAAGCATTTCTTCCCTCTGGTGATTCTTCACCTGCATTTGCTGCAGCATGCACGTTCCCTCCTGTTCTTCCTCTACCGACACCTCTCTTCCACCAATCCCAACGGCGGCAGCAGAGACCACAACAAAGCTCTCCCCTTCTATGCTGACCTCCTTGGGTTCAGAGCCTCTCTCCAACTCTGGACAATTGTGTGATGCGCCATATACCCCTGGCCCCTGTATTGGTTGCTGCCCAACCCAATTCAGCTCTCTCCTCCCTCCCTCTTCTCTTCTGGTGGATAAATCGGCGGGATCCGTTTGAGCATGATTGCAGCCGGCAGCCTCTCCTGACAGCGCCGATCTGAGTGAGCCCGAGCTCGCAGCAACTGGCAGCGGTGTCGCAGAGTTGGGGGAACCAGGTTCAAGTCCTTTCTGATCCCTTCCTTGGGAGTCCGAGTCATCAGCAACAAGTGGGAAGTTGGTCCAAGCATGCGGCCCTCGCAGTTTCCTGGCGGCAGCGTCATACGCGTGTGCAGCTTCTTCTGCCGTGTCAAACGTCCCCAGCCAAACCCTTTTGCTCGCAGCTGTGTTCTTAATTTCGGCACCCCATTTCCCCCTGCGTTTCCGGACCCCAACGTACCCCTCCTGTTTGGGAAAAGTCTTTCTCCAAGCGGGTGCCCCCAGTGTACCTTCAGGCACGATCTCAGCTGTAGTCTGCAATTGTGATGCGTGCTGCGGTGTCGGCAATTGCGATGCGTGCTGCGTTGTCGCCAATTGTGGTGTGTGCAGCATAGTAGCAGTATGCACTGAGGGATCCAAAGGAGCAGCGCCGTCTTTTGGAGTGCTTCCCGGGAGCGACGATGCAGCAGGTCCGGCGCCGGCAGAGCCGCTGTAGGCCGAGCTTCGACTTTGGGGTGTCCTCCCAGGCTCATGCGGATGTGTCGTCATGCCTTCAGCGGCGGAAGGAGCGCTCATGGGGATCATTTTGACATGTCTGTCCCCAAAATCGGGTTCATCGTCTTCATCATGGCCCGGACCCAAAGAGCCGAGCAGCTCAAGGCGGCGGCAGCGGCAGTCAGTGCCGGTTCTTTGCCTCTTGTTCAACGCAGCAGCACTACAGGCCTTGGGTGTAGGCGATTTCTGCAGAGAACCTTCACTGGCAGGTCCCGAGCCCTTCAGAACTGAATCGTCGCCGACACTCGGATTCTGGCCGGCGCGGGTGGTCGATTCGTGTTCGGAGGACAGGACGACGATGCTGATGTGCATCGGGTCGCGGCGCCTCTTGCCGCTCTTGCCGCCGGCGGCGCCGGCGGCAGGAAGGTACCTCTGAAGCATGGCGGACAGCTGCTGCACTACCAGTGCCGACGCATCAGAGGCACGCCTGCCGACTCCGACCCCGGGTCTACTACTATGACTAGCAGCCTTCGTAGTGTTTCTAGCGGTTGACAGGCTCGCACATGTTGCGCGGCCATGGTGCTGGGAGGAACTTGGGATCGGAGTGGGACTTGCCATGGCCAGAAATTCGACTTGGGGTGGGGCGTGTGGAAAGAAGGCGGAAGGCAGAAGGCAGACCCCAGGAAGAGCCAGATTGTCAACGACCAGCTTTTGGACCCCATGGAGCCACGTTCAGGGGTTACCTTTGGGTTTTCGTCCACGCGGCAGATCCGGGTACCCCTGTATGGAAACCCGGATTTCACGGGTGTACCTTAAAAGTTAGTCGTCAGAAGCTGGGTAGGAACAAAAACAACACGTTAGTTCCGGGAATTTTTTAGTTGCGTCACACAGAGCCAGTTCAAGGGCCAGTACAAACGTTTTGTAGCTCTATGATCCGTTTTGGCAGGGGCTCACCTGCCAAATTGGGGTACTTCGCAAAACGAACACGTCAGTTCACGGGTGCGGTTAAACCTGAACCCGTCAGAATCCGACTTCATGGAAAACTCACACGTCAGAATCCGGAATCGGTAAAATAAGCCCCCGTTATTTTGCCAAAATCCGGGTAGTTACCCGTGAAAATTAAACCTTCCGTCCACCATGAAGCAGCTTTGGAGGGTTGCTGGCTGGGCAAAGACTGACTCCGAGTCATTGAGGGGAGAAGGTGAAAACACAGAGGAGGTCATCGTGGGTGATCAGCCTAGCCGATCACTTGGCTCCGTGACACGTATAGACTATAGACAGTGGATGGGTTTCAGCCTATAGACTAACGCCACGAGACACACATCGACCAACAAGGCTCCTGCCGGCTGCTTTCCACGCATTCTGGACCACAAGCGAGCATCTGGAAGACGTCAGCTGGTCGGATGAGTTAGGTCCGACGCTTTGAACACAAGAGTGTGTGGAGCCAGCGCACTTGGTCTCAATAGAGTCTGAAGGTTCAGGCTGGTGAGGTTCAAAGCGGTTGAAAAAAAAAATAAACCACACCAAATTGTACAACGTCGTACTCACCCACTCTTTTCCAACAGAAGGATAACTGCTGTGATTCGTCTCCCGGCCAGGGCTTATGTTCGGTTTTTGAGCAGCTCTGGCGGTCAGGGTTCCCTTCGAATTTCACCCTGAAAATCCAGGGTCCGAATATGCACTTCCCTAATTTTTCAAGGCCGGCCGAAGAAATACTCGGAGGGCGCACATTTCCAAGGATTCTATTTTAGGCTATTCCACGCTCCGCGGCTCATAGGAGTCACATATGTTCTAGGGTGTGTGGGAAGTACTCCTTCCCAACTAGTAGCCTGATAGCCAGGTCTTAGGAAGAGAGACGGGTGTTGGGGAGTGGGAGAAACTTGTATTCTAGGGGGTGGTACATCGGGAAGGGGTGGGTGTGGGTAGTGGGAAAAATCAGGGTTACCTAAAAATCTACTCGGAGTTTCCGAGATCTCCTTGAGAGTCTCCCAGACTTTGTCAGGGCTGGGTGTAAAACGTTCGGATAAAATTAGAGCTGGTCTAGAAACTACCTTAGAATTTGAGTCAAGTCAGGGCAAATGCCCTAATAACATATGCCCTGCTCCCCGCCATTCTGTAGAGCCCCCCCAAATGCCTGGCCTACATTGATGCGGCAGGTAGCGTGTCCAACGCGGGATGTCAGCGGATCTCGAGGGATTTCGACCATCGGATCCGTTCGATCGATGGTCGACATCCCTCTACATCCCCTCGTCGGATACACCTAGCCCGCGGTATTTTTACACCCAGTATTTTCACAGGGGTGCCGCCTAGAGGGCATTCACCCCACGAAAGCAGCTCATGAAGACCAGATCCGGATACCCTTGAAAAACAATTTTGGTTTGGAATTCTATACGAAAAGTTTACTGCTCGATTTTGTGTTTCTCGAGTCAGGAAACCCGACATCAGCTTTGGCAGTGCTCGAAGTTTTTCTCCGCGTAGAGTCTGCCGCGCTTAGGCCATAGGAACAAGGGAATACTATCTACGTACTCAGAAATTGCCAGGATAGAAACAAGAATTCTACTGCCGCTCAATTTCAGGGTGTAAAATTACCGCGGGCTAAGTTTATCGACCCGAAACAAGCAACAGACGGCCTGACGCCAGACATTCACCGTTGGGTTCAGGTACACATTTGACACGATTCATGATTGGCTAGGGTGTGACATGATCAGGGCATATGTTTGGTTTTGGGCAGCCTTACATATTTGCCCTGGATAACCAGGGCTGTAGCTCAAACTACTCGGAAAAACCAGCGCTGCCTAAAGTTTTAATTTTCTGGCTATGTACCTAATAACCTCATTGGACATATTGGAGACATGCAGTCAAGGCAATGAGGAGGTTGGTCGTGTTAGAGAAATGCAGCACTGATGTACAAAATGTATATTTGTGGCTGCCAAGCATTCACTCTGACAGCAGGAACCTTTGTCACATGCTTTCGCCAAGGTCAGCAAACTAACCACGGAGCGCCATGTAAGGTGAGATGTTGCTGGTGAGACGGGGCAGGGAGAGCACGATAGGTTGAAATTCCTAGATCTAGGCTGAGGGGGAATCTTGGCGAGCGAGGTAAAGTGGGAGAGAGGAGAGGGGAAGTCGGGGAAGAGGGGAGTGGGGGTGTGGCGGGTCGCAAGTAGCCCTTGAAACTTCTCGGTTGGGTCGGGGCGGGGCTCGGCAGCAAGGCTCGGCAGCAAGGCCTTTGAGATTTCTCAGGGCTATTTTCCCGTGATTTCCTCAGGGCTGAGATTTTCAGGGCTGTCATAAAAAGCATCCTATGAGCTCGATCAAATAAGACTGAATACACTTTGCTTTCGATATGCTTCTACAATCCAGATTTTAGTTTGGTCCTGCCTATATCCCCCTACATAATGTCCACAGATAAGGGTACAGTGATGTTATCCAGCCAATGGGAAGTGGTATGAATGTCAGGAATCTGACAAGTAGCCAATGAGCATGGTCAGCATGATTGCGTACGACTCGGCTTGGTGGTTTAGCGAAGTTTGTTATGCACACTCGCCAGCTATTGGGCACAAAGAACCATACGTCAGTTTTTTTTAAACCGAGTATTGTCCATTCATGCTGTTGAGCAGCAAATCGAGCATCCACATAAGCAAGAGACGTATCGTTGATTGCTGATTTGGCAGGCCCTTGAAACAATTGCGCCCAAGTCTGGAAACCTCCGATGCGCGGCTACTTTTCGTTGGCATTCACCTTAAGGACATGTAAAACCTCGATAAAACGGCTCGGTTCACTTCGTTCCAGCCACGCCGCACGTGAATCGACGAAGCGTTGGCCAACCGCGAAGTCGATAAAGAACGTGTTACAATCGTTCCACCTGTAACACTGGCGACTCGTGAATGCTGAAGCCCATGTTAATCGGCAAGGTTCGCCAACCCCGCGATTTCAACCACAGTAACTTTGAACCAGAACCTTCGGTCCACTGGCCTTACAACAAAAAATGTTAGATGACCAGCGATGTGAGAATACGCCCTTCCTTCAACACCCCTTTTGCCGAAATGTTGTGCACAAAATTACTCCTACTCCACGCTCGTTTCTAGTAAGCGACTCAGAATCCGTTAGCTTCCATGAAAGACATATTCCGTAATTACGTTGCTCATCCCGGTTCTTTTCTTTTCTTTTCTTTTCTTTTTTCTTCCATTTTTTCTTATGTCCGAGCTTAGGTGTTTACTGTGTACATGGAGTCGATCAATGCCGCCATGTTTGCAGAGGAGCGTTCGATCGTTGTACTCGTCGATAACACCTCTAGCCATCGCGTCAACTCCCCGGGCATGCTTACCGAGGACCTCTTGGTGCATGCCCGGTTTCCGCTCCCGCAAGATCAGTAAATAGCGAGTGGTGTATCTCCCCCCCAACACCACCTCATTCATCCAGCCATTTGACCAAGGCTTTATTGCAACTGCGAAGGCGCGGTATCGAGTGAAGTGGTGGCGCAACTCACCCAGATGTGGGAGGCGTGCAGCAGCCTGGCGAAGCTTCAGTGTATGAAGCTTTCAATATGCCAGGTCGTCATGTGGATTCACGACTCCTGGTTCAGCATCGAGCAGCACACCGTCGAGCAGTGCTGGTGGCATGCCCGCTTCCTCCCCGCTTCTTGGATGTCGGTGGAGGTGCAGACCGAGTCCCCAGCGCGTGACCCGGTTGACACGGACCCCGGGCTGGAGGCGCTCGCAGCTGTGATTCCCCTCCTCCAGCTCGGACCGTCGGCGATGGCGGAGGCGGAGTTCCTTGGGTCGACGAGAACCACCCGACGTGCGATTTCGAGGGCTCCGACCCCCTTGCCGTCGTGCCCCCTCACGTCCCCCACACCGCAGTCACGTGCGAGCCTCCGTTTGACTTCACTGCGGGGGTCCACGCCCGGGCTCTCCACGCCGTAGCTCGGCGTGCGTCGGAGATGCTCGTCGCCTATGCCCGGGCGACGGGCATTAGCTCAAATGACCTCCGCCACCTGTTCGACATCTGCAATCCTTTGGTTGTCGATAGGTTGGCGCGGGCATCGGGGAATGCTCTGAACCTCAACCTCCCCCCGCCCGTCCTGCCCCCTACCCCCGCCGCCGCCCTCGGCGACCCTGATGCCATCGTGGTGCGCCTCCGCCTGCTCCACGTGGCGGGGGATTTGGATGGCCACGCCGACGACTCCGACCTCCTCGGCTTCTGAGATCGCCGGCTCACACGACTGCCCACCAGTATCCCTATCATCTAATGATGACGCCCTTTATGACCCTGCCCTCTGTTACTCTCCTCTTCCCCCTCATTCACTCCTCTCTCCCCAGTTTCTCTAATCTTCCCCATGTTTCACTCTTCTCTCCCCTGTTTCTCTAATCTCCTCACTAATTCATTCATCTCTCCCCTGTTTCCCCAATCTCTCCCTCGTTTTACTCTTCTCTTCCCTGTTTCTCTTATTTCCCCACTGTTTCACTCATCTGACCCTTGTTTCCCTTATCCTCTCCCCTGTTTCTCTCATCTCTCCCTTGTTTCCCTGATCCTCTCCCTTGTTTCACTCACCCCCCCCCTATTTCACTCATCTCCCCTCTGTTTGCATAACCTCTCCTCTGTTTCTTTCATCTCATCCCTCTTACTCTCATCTCCCCCCTGTATCACTCATGTCTCCCCTGTTTGTATAACCTCTCCTCTGTTTCTTTCATCTCTCCCCTCTTTCTCTCAGCTCCCCCCTGATTCACTCATCTCTCCCCTGTTTCTCGTATCCTCTCCTCTGTTTCATTCCCCTCTCCCCTGTTTCTCTAATCTCCCCCCTGCTTCACTCATCTCTCCTCTGTTTGTATAACTTCTCCTCTGTTTCTTTCATCTCTCCCCTGTTCCTCTTATCCTCTCCTTTGTTCACTCATCTCTCCCCTGTTTCTCTAATCTCCTACCCTGTTTCACACATCTCTCCTATTCCTCGCATCTTTATCCTGTGTCTCCTCCTTCCCCCAGCGCATACCCCCCCTGTATCTCACCACCTCTCATCTGGTTCTCTCATCTCCCCCCTGTCTCCCTGCCTCTCATCTGGTCCAATAATCTCCCCACTCTCTCACTGTCTCTCTGCTAATTCTCACATCTCCCCCCTGTATCTCACCTCTTGGTTTCACTTACCTCTCTTTCGGTTCTCTCTTCTCCCCCCTTTATCTCATGACTCTGTCTCAGTATTCTCTATGCTGGTTCTCTCAACTCCCCCCTGTATCTCACCTCTCTGTTTCACTGACCTCTCCTCTAGTGCTCTCATCTCCCCCGTGCATGGCACCTGTATGTCTCCTGGTTCACTCTAACTTTCCCCTCTATTCACTCATCTCTCTCTCTCTGTCGGCGCTTCTGCCCCTGTTTCACACAGCTATTCGCTGTTTCTCGCATCTCCACCCTGTGTCGCCTCTTTTCCCTGGAGCATATCCCCACTGTTTCACTCGTCTATCTCCTGCGTCACACATCTCTCCCCTGATGCTCTCAGCTCACCATTGTTTCGCTCTTCTCCCTGCTGTTTCTCTCATCGACCCAGCGTGTTTCTTTCATAATACACCCTGTTTGCTCTCTGCCGTGTATGTATCCTATTTCCACACGTTGCACTCTCCCTTATTTCTTTCATCCTTCCCCCCCGTATTCACCGCCTACCCGCTGCTGTTTCGTCCTCGCCGCCATTGCTTTGTACTGCGGTTTCGTATTCGTCGCCCTCGTACTGTTGTTTCGTGTTCACGGCCAAGGCTTGACCCTGCCGTTTCGTGCAAGCAGCCATGGCTTAACCCTGCTGTTTCGTGGTCGCGGTAGAGGCTCAACCCTGCTGTTTCGTGTTCGCCTGTACTCATGGTCGCTGATCATTTCGAAACACTCTTATCGCGTCGGACGAGAACATCTGCATGAATGGCATGGGTCGTTATGCGTCATAAGTCGCAAGATTACCTATACTGTCTTTTGTTGTATATCGTGCGAGTCTAAGCTATGCTCGGTCGAGGGAGGGCAGTGTTCTTTTGTCGTTCCCTTGCTTTCTCATAGTGCAACTTGATGTGTGTGCTATGGGAAGGTAGAGATGCTGTTTGACAATGCAATATGTTGTGCCTGTCGAGCAAAGGCCCAGTGTTTCAGACAATGTGATTTGGCAGTCGTGGTTGGAGGATGGTTGGATGTTCTGCTAGTTATTGGGTTGCGTGTACTGGACATGCCGGCCTTTGTTGTAACATGTGCCTCTATATGGATTGTTTCTTTTTCTTTCGCTGAAAGTGTGCCGGATAATACACACCTAAACAACGTCAAGTTGTGTCATTTGGCGAGTGTCGCTCAATACTTGTGGGTTCCCTCGGCAAAGTGCCGGTAACATTGGTGGCTCTGCTAGATTTAAGGTATGTTAACCCTCAATTATTACCGCCAGCGGTGCCGATTTTCCCGCTAGTGTCGATTTTGCCAGCGCTACAAAAGTTTCAGGATTCAGTTTTGCGCCGCGTGATGTTTTTATGAGATACAGAAGAAGAAAAGGTGTACCTGAAGACATAAGCCCTGGACTTCATTCATGATCTCAGACATTGTCCAAACACTCCTGCCCGAAATTCTTAGTCCTAGCGATGTAAACGCATGTGGAAGATAGCAGAAGGCATACTCTTGGGGCCAAATTGGCAGCGTGGTGATAAGCGATTTCGGACCCCCGAGAGACACGTTCCGTGGACCGTGTCCCATGAACCACCTTTGATGTGATCAGTGCCATGGTGCTTGGTGGAGCAGACGATCTCTGATTGGCTCCCACGGACGCTACAATGGTTCTGGGACCTGCTACAGTGTTTGGTGTTTAGACAAACGCCATGTGACAAAGCGACCAATTAGGCTCAAGCGAACCACATGCGAGCTGCCAGGCCACGTCAGCAAATCCTTTTCTAGCTGGTCGGATCCGTTGGAGCGTGCTCAGAGTGACCGACCTAAAAAATTACGACGTACAAGTCGTAACCGATTAGTGCAACGATGACAGGACCGAGTATTTCACAGGGTCAATTATTCCTTACATGCAAACCCAATACACGCAAGAAAATATGATACTAGCCAATCAGGCACAGGTACAATCAAGTCACAACTAATGCATGACAACCAATAATTTCCATTTCTGGTCAACGACCCCCAGTGATCGCAGGGGGTTAAGGGCGCCAATAAATGACCACGTTTAGATCCACCTAATTACGACCATCGTTTAGGGCGCAGCACGCTAGCGAATCGGAATGCGCCATCTGCGATGTCATGATTTGTTGGTGTTCGGCCATGTAATTGTCCACCATGACGTGTGCCGGAAAGCGGGAAGCATACAGACAAAATATAGCAAAACAGAAAGGAAGGTAGGGGGATGGGAAGTAACGAAAGAAGAGCAAAAAAACAGGCCACAAGACACGCAAAGAAAGGAAGCACGCAATAAGAAGGCGCAGGGAGACAGCGCCGAACACCAGAGCCAACCACCCAAAACAGCTTAGACCCACAAGTCCACTAGGTAGGGAGCATCCGCCCACGGAGGCCCTTACCCGTCCTCCTGCAGACAATGCCCCTGCTCCACCCGCACGATGTTAGGCCCACCCATTATTGAAGCCGCACGCAACAAGATGACCCGCGCCTTGGCCCGCTGCAGGGCCACCCCGATCGCAGCCTTGAGAGACCCCACCAAATAAGCCGAGAAAGACTCCTCATCTCCCTGACTCACCCCCTTGCTCCGCGCCACCTGCAGCTGGACGTCCCCCTGTTGCCGCAGCCACCGACGGACCCCCCTCCCCCCTAACCAACCCCACGTTTCGGCGATGAGCGGAGTGAACTGCACACCTTGATACCGGTGTTGTTTCTTCTCGTTGTTTTATGTTGCTTTCTGCTGTTCAAATCTTTGTATACTATCGAGTTTGTCTAGTATCGAGTTGGGTATAGTGATGCAACTAAGCCTTAAAACATATTGCGAATCGTGTGCAACATGCCTATGTGGACGTAGCCGCTGCAAACGACAGGGTCCCCGCCCCTGAAGAGTACGCATAAGACATCGCTACTACATCTGCGGAAACGATAAGCACAATTTGCCTGGGTCGCACGTGCCTATTCGTCAAGTGCAGTTTCCTATATTCTTGGAGTTTGCGTTTTTAGAATATCACATGTACATGGAGCCAGCAGACTTGGGTTTAGGATAGTGGAAGGGCGTCACACAAAAGTTTGTTTGACAATGCTCAGAGCGGGGAAGCGAAAAAAAACAGAATGTGAACGGGTGTGATGTGAATTAGAGTGAATTCCTGCGAGCATTCCGAACACCAACTTCGTCTCGTTCCGAGCTTGCCTTATTTTCGGGGGTACTTGTGTAGTATTTACCGACATTATGAGCGCTCGGAGATTAACATGTTTTGAAGGCACTGTAAGCTTAGCTCTGGTATTAAGGCACTGTTTTAAGTTTGTGGAACAACACGGTAAGATTTCTCATACCGATGTTGTAAAGGAGACGCTTAGAGTATTTTGGGCTTACCCAGAAGCCCTTGAAAGCCGGGATACGGGATCGGAAAATCCTCGGTGAGGGGGGCACTTGTGGCGTCCTCGGTACAGACCGCTTACCATTCGTGTCCGAGGAACGTAGTGGTGACACCGAGGTCCTGAAGACAGCCGACACCAACTAGGTTCCTGGAGAACGAGGGGATGTGTAGGCCTATAAGAGAGCCCGTGGGAACCGCCGGACAGGGAAGGGTGGTGGAGCTATGGGCGACTACCGGACCTGAAGAGGGGCAGCAAGAGCGACAGCGGCAAGGGCGGCAAGCGGCGAGAGCACAATGTGGACACAGAAGAAGCAAGCAGACGCACCAGAGTCTAGAGTGAAGGAGAGCGAAGTGGTAGCGGTAGCCGACGGAGGGGCTAGCGCGGAGCCGAGGCTAAACAAGGCAGAAGGTCTTACACCTGATGAAATAGGGGAGCCAAGACCACACACAGAAGGCACACCTACACTAGGCAAAACAGGGTAATAAGATCTGGTCATACTAGAGTCATCAACATACATGACATACAACACAGAGCAAATATGATCCATGTCCATCTCAAAGACCCGCACACGGCGCCGTACCAGAATGGGCCAATCAGGGAGGTTTGGGGCAGGGCCGAAGCAGAGACGGAAGAGGTCGTCGAGGCGGCGGAAGCAGTGGGCCGCAGTGTGACTGGGACGGCCACACACAGTGCCGCGAAAGTGGTCACTTGAATGCTGGCTTAGAAAGTGGTCGCGAGCAGTGGCGAGGCGGTCGAGAAGGCGCGTGGCAATGAGGTAATGGGTTGCGTAGAGGGGAGGAGGGAATGCAGCGAGCTGGGCCTCAGTGCTAGACCCGCGGTAGCTAGTCTCTAGTGGCAAGGTCATCGACAGTGAGGAAGGACACAAGATCAGGGAATAGCATGGGGAGGATCAGGCGGCCGGCAGAGGCGGAGGAAGGAGTGGAATAGTGCACAATGACTGCATCTAAGTACCCCTTCGCATTTGCTACGGCCGTAAAGCTGTAACGCTCAGACACGGGGAGAGCGTGACTAATAACAAGCTGCACTACAGTATAGCAAGACTCCCAGACAGTGTGAGCAAGCTCAGCAGCGGCAAAGGCCTCACGCTCAACAGTGGTGGGGACGTCAAGGAGGGCAGCAGGCGCATTGGGGCGGGGGAGCTTACCGTTGACATGAACAGCCGTCCTGGTGCTGACCTGTCAGCTGGCGAAGGTCGACAAGCCACACCTCAAAGTCGATCGCCCGACCCTCCGCGTCCATGCGGAGCACAGCATCTCCCATCCCACGATCTCAGCGGCTGACGATGGCACGACGCGATGGTGGCACTGCGACACGACGGCACTGCGGCACTGCGGCAGGGCGACACGGCGATACTGGGCACGGCGACACGACGGCACTGCGGCACGACGGCACGGCGGCATGGCGGCACAACGACACGGCGGCACGGCGACACGGTGATACGGCGGCACGGCGGCACGGTGGCACAGCGAAACTGCGGCACAATGACGAACTGGGGCCCACGAGCACGGGACCGGCAAGCAAAGGGCCAGCTAGCAAGGAGGGCCGGCAAGCTGGGGGGCCGGCAGACTGGGGGCTGGCACGAACCGGGGCTGGCAAGCTGGAGCTAGCTAGCTAGGGGCCGGTGAGCGAGGGGCTGTCAAGCTCCGGGCCGACTAACGAGGGGCCGTTGAGGTAGGAGCCGGCGTGCAAGGGACCAGCTAGCAAGGAGCTAGCGAGCTAGGGGCCAGCGAGCTCGGGGGCCAGTCAGCGCGGGACTAGTGAGCGCGGAGCCGGCGAGCGTAGGGTCGGCGAGCGCGGGGCCAGCGAGCACAGGGCCAGCGGGCGTGGGCCAGCGAGCGTGGGTCAGCGAGCACGGGGCGACGAGCATGGGTCAGCGAGCGCATGGCGACGAGCGCGGGCCTATGTGCGCAGGGCGACGAGCGGGGCCTACGAGCACGAGGCGACGCGCGCGGGCCGACGAGGGCGGGGCGACGAGCGGGGCCAGTGAGCGTAGGGCGACGAGCACGGGCCTATGGATGCGGGGCAATGAGCGGGGCCTACGAGCGCAGGGCGACGAGCGCGGACCAGCGAGCGCGAGGCGACGAGCAGGGCCTATAGGCTAGGGTTAGGGCTAGGACTTAAGTTAAGACTAGGGCTAGGACTAGGGCTAAGGCGGAAGCGCGGGTGGGAGAGGAGGACCTAGCCTAGCGTGATACCATCTCAAGATAACGATTTGAACTAGTATGGGTAGTACAGGGTAGTTTTGTGCTAGGTGTTGTACTCTCTATGACATGCACCTATCTAGCCTATAACGATATATATCAATATTTTGACAAACTAACCTTGTAATATAGCGTGGGCAATTTCTCGAGTCGTGTGCAGTTACCCGAGTCGGATCTGGAACCTCAAGAGAATGTACCCCTGCTAAGTGCATCTTAGTTAGACCCTTCGCATTCTCTTGTACCACTATGTGAACCCTGTATCTCTTTGCTATAATCAGTTCTTATATTCACTTTGATGGAGTTCATCGACCAATCAATCGCTCCTGGCTTCTTCAACTTCGATACTTCCAACGCGCAACCACCTGCAAGCACGAGATTAAGTGACGAAGCCCTGCAGACAGAAAAGTCGAAGTTCTTCGCTGTCTCGAAAATTAGAACCAGCTCTGCGTTCAGCGGTCGCGATTTCTACACTTGAAG